TAAGCCAAACTGGTTTTCTGCCATACTTGCTAGTCTTCCTAGACACTGGGATGTTTTGTTTCTGTACTCTCAGTAAGGTTTCTTTAAATTACAGCCAGCTGTCCTGTGGACTCCTCTCCTCTTTCCTGCCCATGAGTTCCCTGAGCAAATCAAAGTCTGCTTTTCTGAAATCCAGGGTCCTTACTCTGATGTTCTCCTTCCTTCTGTTCCTCAGGATCTTCAACTCAGTCATATACTTTCTTTTAGGTATGATGGAGAGTTCTTCTCTGGAAATTGCCCTGGAAAATGATACACAAGAAGAAGGAAAGCTTTATGAAGTTGATTCCTTAAATAACCTAAACAAACTAAATGTTTGTTCTGATGGATCTCAACACCTGCTAAGTACGTATATTGGATGATGTTAAACAACTATTCTGAACAGACAGCAGGTGATGAAAAAATGGATGTATGAATGTAGTTGGCATTTGGAAGTAATTTATTTACCATAGGCATGTTTTTACTAAATCTTTAAGCAGGTGGGCCAGATCCCTGGGTAATATAAATCAAAATGATAGCTTCATTGATGTCAACAGCATGGTGCCAACGTGTGCCACTTAAGGACTGAGCACAATACGTGCATGTCAGTTTTAGTATTGAAAAGACATTAAATTCTGTTAAAATATCGTTATCTCAGAAATCATCACACTTGGCTCCCTTTAAATGGGAAACACAGGAATTGCCATATTGGACCAGACCTGCCACCCAGCTACACCAGTACAATCTCTCATTGTTACTGGTAGCAGATTCTTGTTGGCAAGTCCCACAAGGCAAAGGATTCATAGTGGAATCTGAGCCACACATCACTCCAAGCCATAGCATCCAGGTCATGTCTGAGGCATTGGCATTGTCCGTTATGTTGCAGGAATAATGAAATGATTTCTCTCTCTCTCTGGTAGTTTTTGCAAACACTAGAACTAATATAAATGATAGGAGAAGGGTAAGACCAGCAATTGAAACAATTCTGATTTCTGTTTGGACTTTTAAGGAATGGCTCTTGATAACGTGAAATAGGCTCATAGAGTTCTTCAGGTAGCTATCTAGATTTGTAATTCAGACAAGCTCATTTCTCAGTTTCAGAATTGCACTGACCTGGTTTTACTTCTTTTATATATGTTATATGACAAGAATATTTTAGCAATGTGCTCAGCTCCTTTGTGATCTGAAAGCACTTTAAAAGCTAAAGTTTCTTGGCAGCATTCCATATTGTGTTGTTTGAATAGGTACAGAAACCTGCATTTTCATCCTTCATTTAGTGGCATAATTTTATACTTTTGAAATTTATCTGGAGAATAGCTATACAGTAACAGCCTTATTTAAATTAATTTCAAATGAGACAGAAGTGGAACTGGCCATTCAACTGCACCATTAAAGATAATTGCTGGAAGAAATGTCAGGTGACACCTGTGTTTAGGTTCAAGAAGAGTTAAAAATACACTGATTTTGGGGAGGATATGGGAGATAAGGAATATGTGCTCTTAACCTTCCTCTTAGCCCATGAGGCTGAACATCTTGCAAATACCTCTACTACTGAGTCCTAAGTTTTCTAAAGCTAATAACTACAATGGCATCAGCTGCCAGACACAATGGAAGGATCCCATATTAAAAATGATAGACATCTATCATATTATTTTATCATATAGGCCTCCCTAGTGTTCTCATTTTAGTGAAAAGGTGTGAGCATATAATAGATCTGTTCAAGAGTCAAAATATTTCTGTGCTGCCCACCTAGATTTCATCTGTAGTTGTTTTGAGCAGCATCCTTCACTTTTGAAATATGGTTGTATGAGTGCTGCTGGGTGCAGGAGTTGCCTGCTGGTGGCTGTATTTGAGCAGCAGATGGGAGCAGTCCTGCGTGTGTGCTTTTTCTCTCCATTTCTGAAGTGCTTCAAATTGTTTTAGATTGTGACTCTTTAAATATGGTTGTTAATGGTTGGAGGTTTCTCTGGACATTGCCCTCACTTGTAGAGTGTTCTCAAAAGGAATGTCTACTAATACAAAATGGGTCGTATTCAATTCAGATTCCGATTCAGCCCGAATCAGGGACAGTATTTTAATTTGTTGATTTAGATCACTGTCCATGATTCGATTTGACCAAAGCTGAATCTGAAGATTTGATGGTGATTCAGAGAAACAGCAATTCAGCCATAGACAAAGCTTTAAATGTTTTTTCTACATCCCACAGGAGCACGGGCGGGCCCCCTGTGCACTCGGCAGTGGACCTGGAAGTAGACTGGAAGTATTTCTGGTCCACGTCTGGGTCCCCCGGGGAGTGCACTGGGGGGCACTTCCGCACCCCTCTGGCTCAGTGATCACCCTCAGGGGGAACCCTGGGTGCCCCCCCAGACCCAGGAAACACCAGTCGCCGAGCCAGGGAGGCATGGGGGTGCCCCACACGCACTTCCTGGCAGACCTGGAAGTGGACCAGAAGTGCTTCTAGTTCAGTTCTGGGTCTTCTGCCAAGCGCACTGGAGAGCCCCCTGCACTCCTGTGCAACTCTCCATCCACCCCAGCATTGCAGCATTCACGAGCCTCCTCGTACCTTGAGGTATGTAGAAAAAACATTTAAAGTTGTGTCTATGTCCGAATCTCTGAATCTCTCCGAATCGATTCAGAAGGTTCTGATTCGATTTGGAGAGATTAAAGGGTCTCCTGATTTGATTCGGATTTGGAGATTTGGCCGCCAAATCAGGCTAAATCTCCACCAAATCGAATCAGGGACCAAAGCTTCATATATCCCTAACGTCTACATTGTGTTGGATGGTGCTCTGAGGCCTCATCATGAAAACAAGCCTTGCCCACTCACACCCACTCCGTATGTGCCACGTAACAAGGACGTGTCATGTAGCTGCCATGGGAGCAGTGCTCAGTGTGTCAGATGCTGTCCAAATGAGCATGCCCATGATTGAGAACATGACATTGGGTACAGGACAAGGAACGATTATGTGATATGATTTTGGCATGTGGCCCATGCAGGGTAGTAGTGAGTTGGTGGGGCTTATTTTCATGGTCCTGAACACTGACACAATTTATATATGCTCAAAGAGTTTGTACTCTTTACAGTCCTCAGCCACTTAATATTGAGTCATGTGTGAAATCCTGGATCTCTTTGCTACAGAGCAGACAAAAAGGTTGCTAGATTAAGTAAGCGTTTTTCACCTGATAATCACTGAAAATGCCTGGGAATCAGTTTCCATTTTCTACAGTAGATGCCTCAACTGCTTTAAAAACAATGCCTTGAATGTTTGTGAAGCAGTTCACATGGCCTTCCTTTAGCTCAGTAGCTAAATATGACCTGGCAAAACCAAACACATTAGAAATCATTTTAAAAGCTATTTTAAAATTAAAAGACTTCTAATTGTTGTGGTAGGAGCTACACAACCATTTTTGTATGCTTCAGAACATAAAATGGTCCCACTGTTTGCAGCTTGGCCAGAGTCCTTGTTCACTGATTCCTTACAATGGCTGGCACATTGAGCCAGTTGACTAGTGAGAAGTGTTCATTAGGCAGAGCAAACAAGTAGTATTTATAAGAACTCTATTGATAGCTTACTGTGCTTGAGAGACTGTGGCAGCAACTCCCCATCATTATTATTCTGGCTAGGAAGCAATATCTGTGGTACTGGCACTTAGCACATAATGCCTTTATTATGGAAGCTGAGGGAGTAACAAAAAGCCCCAAATATTAAAAACGCTTCAATTTATCCATAGGCAGGAGCACACTAAATGCAATAAAGAGAAACAAAAAGGCTCCCACAGATAGATCTCTCACTAGTTCTATGAATTGCTCAAACCTCAGGTTTGCTCATTATCAAAATGCTGTTGTGGCATAGGCATCCTTTCCCCATCTTTATTGCTACCAGCACAGTGTAAGTCCCTGAAAAATTGTCACCAGCTGAAAGTCACATTGAATGTGAAACCTAGAAATACCATTTTCATAGATTCATGATTCCTTTCAGGTACATCAGCTATAGAGGTGGGTGAGCTAAATGTCACACTTAATCTGGTCCTGCACACACTTCTAACACATGCTATTTCAGCTGTAGCTTTCTGGAAAGTTTTCTGGGACAGACTGAAGTTACACAAGCCCAAAAGAGAGAATAAAATAGTAGTTAAAGTGGTACTTCAGTATGGGGTTAGAATCTTGCTTATCAAGTGTAAAACTCAGATTCATACAAATCTCTTGCCAGCATTCAGGGACTTTAAAGAAAATCCATTTCCTGTTCCCACTGTCTTCGCTACCTAGAGGTCCATCTCCACTCCTCACTGGCCTGTTTTTGTCTTGATGGCACTTACTGACCTTTCCCTTCACTCAACAGAGGTTTTAAAAAGTACCAGGCAGATTTAACTCTCAGATTTCAGTAGAGGTGATGCCCTTTACTCCCCCATCCTATATCTTCTTGATGGATAGCTAGTGGGCCTGCCTCCTGTGGGCAAATGTGTTAAATTTATATATACTAGAGCTGGCTGGAAGGTGACAGTTCCATTTTGTGATGACTTCTGACATTCCAAACCTTGTTTTTGTTCTGTAATAGAATAAAAATGTAACATTTTTAATGTTTCCATGAGGTCAATTTATTTCAAAGCATCCCCTTTCAAATAATGAAAAAAAGTCATGTTTTCAATCTGGAGCTCCTTCTTCTGCTTTCTGGGAGGGACCAGAATCTGGACCTCAGAAACCCTCTTGATGAAAACTTTATTGGAATTATGTCTTTGCAAATTGTTTCAGCTCCAATGAAACAGCATTGCTGGATGAAAATAGTTTTATTAAAAATGTTTCAACTAGCTGGAATATATACTAACTTCTAGCACTGTGTACATTGAATCTATACAAATAAAACTTTTTTTTCTTTTTCCTTTCTTGTGCAATAGCATAAGAAACAAAGGGGTTGAGAGTCAAATTCAGTGACCTCTGTGAAGCCCCACTCCTGTCAATTGCACTGGGGAAACTTTGTAAATTAGTAAATAATTTGACTGATGATTCACAAGGTGCATAGGATATAGCAGTGGCACTGGCTTTAATGGGTTATTAGGAGTGAAAAGCCGTCAATCTGAATATGCCTATGAAGCAGACCTGTTGAATAAGGATATGCTACTTTCACATATCCTCTGCTTTGAAACAGTCTCCTCTTTGACTGAAATTCTAAGATGATAATAATGTGGTAATCGTGTCCTATCTAGGAAAAGAGATGAATTCAAGCCATAAACTTCTGGACTTAGATCCAAAGCTTGGGTGTATTCTGGGTTCTCTCTGATTAGAACCAGAGGTATTTTGTCATATTTGTTCTAAATGATTTTAATACAATTTCTTATCGCACTATTATTTTCCATCTTACTGCAGACCAGGAAGAGGAGAACACAGGTGATGGTTGGATGACATGGAGTAGCATAAGAAGCCAATGTGTGTTCTTCGTTACATTGATCATTACGTTGATTGTCAGTTTGGCACTTGTTTCATTTGTAATAATCTTAATAAGTAAGTAAAACACAAACAGGCTCTAATAAACAATATGCGCTCCTAAAGGAGCAAGGTGACGAAAGTTATTGGGCTACATTGTAATTTGCTGTTGTAACACAAGATTGGTTATTGAATTAGAAAGTGGTTCTCAACCTTTCTAGATTCAAGGCACTCCTTCTTAGACCCAAGGAGCACCCCTCATTAGACTAAAGGCACCCCTTGCCAGGACTTAGTTTTCACTTGGTTTTTGACTAAGTAAAAATAAAAGAGCAATTTTTCTGTTGCAGGCAACTCAGAAAGATCAGAATGGCCTTTTTAGCACTATGAATTCCTGTTTGAAATCTCTGGATTTATCTTGTGAATTATGTTTGCACACCTAACAGTGCTAACCTTATATCACCCTGGAATACCCTTGGAAGGATTTCAAGGCACCCCAGGGTGCTATAGTATCCTAGTTGAGAATCACTGCATTTGACAGACATTGAACCTGGGGCTGCTGGATCTCAAAGCCTGGGCCACTACTCCTTGAGATAAAAGCTCTGCCTCTATGCAAAAATTTTGCAGACTTGTAGACTCTTGTATTATTCAGTATGCTGCCTTCTGAATGGCTGTGATGTAAGGATTTCATCTAAAGGCTAGCAAAGTTCCTTACAAAACAAAAAAGGATACATGTTTTTTTTTCAAGATGGAAGAAATACGTATCTTCCAAAATGTTAAGTGATAGATATTTGCTGGTATGTGGCTTGGTTCTGACACAGATGCCAAGGAATTACTCAGACTTGCTTAGTTAGCCCTGGAATCATGTCTGGCTCTTTCTGTAACATTGCAGTAAAGTTAACTAGAACCATCCCATCATGACATGGAATAAGGATTAATTCAGCTAAAATTGTAGTGGATAGGAAAGAAAGAATTAAGTCAGGTCGGCAGGTCAACTTTTAAATAGCTAGTTTAACTTGCCATGCTGCTTTATCAATTAAGCTCAGCAACAGTCTTTTACAGTACTCCATACCTTAAAAGAGGATTTTAAACAACCTGTCCTTGACCTTGGAGTGGTAAGAAGAGGAGTTTAAATATAAACCAGCAGAGCTAGGTAGTGATCTCTGAAATCATTGGCTGTAAAGTCAAGTACTTTCAGTCTGACTGTTTTGTCAAGACATGTTTTGAAAATAATTTTTCCTTTTCATTTCCAGACAAAAATTCAGTCCTGGTGTGATTCCACTAACATGGAAGGACTAATGCTAGGGATGAATATAACTCAGTGTGTAGGAAGGTGTTTAGTTTTTATTATTCAGAAACAGATGAAGGTTCCTGTGCAAGCAGTTGAGTGGAAATCATTTGGAAGAAAGAAATCCTCAAACAAAAGGAGTCTGAAAAATCAGATGATAACTTGAAATTGTTCCATAGTAGAAATTTGTGTGAATAACTACTGCTTGTTTGAGCTGGTTAAGGTAATGCTGTCAAGCCAACAGCCACAGACTACCAGATATTTCCAGGGACCCACCTATTTGGTGTTTACCACTGACTCAGTGTTATTGCATAGAATAGAGCATGACGTATATTATGTTGACTGAGAACTCAGTTGTGATAAGAACTTGTGGCCCTTTGAAATCAAGATGTCTCTACCTATATTGTAGTCATTAATGGGCTACAAAGCAGAAAGGACTGTTCCCTCCTCTCATTTCATAACAGGAAATTATCACCTACTCTGCCCTGAACTGCACCCAGGGATACCATTTCTGGACACACTGAAAAGCACAACAGTGCCAAGGAAATAAAGGATGCACATAATATCTTGAATATTATGTCTGGGAAGACCCTTTATATTTTTTTATACTGAGTTCCAAATTTGCTCTGTTGCAGGTCCTGGTCTGGTAGAAATGAAGGAATAATATGGCCCTCTAGTGGTTAGACAGCAGATGGCTAAGGATCATGATACTGCAGTTATTAAAGGAGTTGCTCTTGGGCTAAGCCTCTAAAAGATGTAAAGGTTTATTTTTGGACCTATAGTACTAGGGTCATTCTCTCAGCTATTCTATGTTATATTCACAATCTGCAGGCATAGATTTACTTTGGATTGACACTCAACTGTTGGATGTGAACTTTAGCTAACAGCAAAACCTTGGGATAAGTTTTGACTAACGAGAAAAGGCTCAAGCATGCAATGTACTGGCTTTATTTGTATATGTGAATGAGGTTGCTTGCATTCCAAAGAGAGGATAAAAGAATACTAACATCTATAGGACTTCCTCACTTCTGATGGCAGAGGCCTAAGCTTTAGGAAATGATGAGGCTTAGTTCTATTTCTACACTTTGGTCTTTTTTTGTAATAACAGTGTGGAGAGACACATTGGACACAGACAACTGTGACAAACATTGGATGCAAAAGTGACAATTTTCACCCAATCTTGGCACAGAAAGTGGTTTATAACCATGACCAGACACAAGTGCATGGCTGCAGACTGCATAAAAAATGGCCAATCTGGGATAAATCTGACAGATGAAGATGTTTCAAAACATAGCATCTTCTGTAACTTCTTCTGAGTCTCCAGAGTCTGGTATAGACTTCTTGCCCCTTGGGCAGGGGGCTGGACCTGATCATCTTGCAAGGTCCCTTCCAGCCCTAATATCTATCAGGTCTATGAAATCTGCACTGCCTCCCAGCCTCAGAGCTGTTTTCAGAATGGGAGGGAGGAAAGGGAGCAGAGGGAGTTTGGTTTGGGATTTTTTCAGTCTCTGCTGGAGGATGAGGGTGTCTTGGAAACCTCCCTTCCCCAACCCCCCTGAGGTGGGAGGCTCCAATTCACCTGCCCCACCCTCAAGCACCAGCTGGGTAACCCCTCGAACAAGCTCCCTTTGCTTTCTTTCCTCCCTCCCATTCTGAAAACTGTGCGGGCTGAGAGAGGGAGCAGGGGCCATTGGTAAAGGAAACCGGCTGCAGCCAGCAGTTAGATTCTTCTTCCCCCTGGAACCAATAGTGAACTTCTGTTTGGTCTGGGGAATCATTGTAACTCAGACCACTTCCTGCAAAGCAATGAGTTACAGTGGAGAACTGCACTTCTGTCTGCCCATTGTGCTCAGACACAGGGTGAATCTTGCAGCCTTTAAATCAGAAAATTTCCTGTAGGATTCAGAAATTGACTCTGAACTAGTGCAGTTATTGCATTAGACTACACATGAATGAAAAAGTGAAAGTAGATTTTTAAAGTATTTAGTTAGCTTTCCAGATATAACTTTCTCCCACTAGGCTTCTGAACTTATCTTCAGCTGGCTGTGTATTTGAGCACAGTAAATGTCCCGACCCTGTGATGATAAAACCCTTAATTAACTCATTTAACATAACACATTTTTATTTTAAAGTTCAGACTGGAAAGAAGATGGACCAAGTGTCAAGCAGACTGGAGTTTGAAAGGAACAACATAGAAGAGCTTAAGAAAATAAACAATTTGCTGTTAAAGCATCTAAACCAATCTGGATTCATGGAGAAGGAAGGAGATCTTGTTAGAGGTCAAACCCCATCAATTCCTGTTCTTCATGAGCATTGATTTACCCACTTGGAGCTGGAAGAAACAGGGCAGCAACCATTTTGTGCAATGAAATCTATTTTCAGTCTATACATTTACTTTAATTTGGTCTTCTGTGCAGCCAGGTGGGTACTTAACTATTCTGGCTCAATATGCTCCCTAACTATTATAAGAGCACTAGAAAAACAATTGGAAGGGAATGGATCTGTGCAAGCTGCTATTACTACTGCATAGATGTATAGTCAATACCCCTTTTGGTTTGCTCCAACTTGATGCTATGGATACATATCCTTAGATCTGCCACTCGATTACCGGAGCTCTCTGATACTGCAGACAGCTCTGTATGAGTAAAATAAGGATTTGTGCCCAAATTTCTAACATTTTCTAAATTTAAAATAAAACATTGTAATTGATCCTGATTGAAGTGACTTTAATTTTATATTATGGGGCTGTTAGAGCTGATCCTGCACTTCACAATACACTTATCAGCAGGTCTTCACAAAGCCTCAGAAGTCTGCCTGTAAGGGCCTTACATTTGTACTATTCCTAAAAAGAAATTACTGTTTCTTTTATAACATAATGTTGTTTTCAATGAGAAGCATTCAGCTGAGTCCATGTTTACTGCTTCTTTTTACTAATTATCAGGAAAAAAAATCGTATATTTGCTTGGAGTTTATTTGTATAAGGAATAACCGATGATGAGACATCACTTCTCAATAAATTCGCTTCTGTCCTGTGGCCTGATGTTTACTTATGGTTAGTTAAATATATTGGCTTAATGCTTCTTTTACAGCACCAGACTTTATTTTAGAAAAAATGTTTTCTAACATTTCAAATTCAGCCCAGGCTAAAAGTGAAAAAAGTGGCTACCAATTAGTTAATTGTTTGGGGCCTCAAATATGTTGTCCATGAATGGCACTAAATCGCCCATTCTCAGGACTGTCAATTAACAGTTTAAAGAAAGAGCTAAATGCTGGGTGCTCCATTTTGTGAGGTGATCTTGGAAAGTACTCCCCTTTCAGGATGAATACAGAATCTGATGCAGGCCTTTGCTCAGAGTGTAGTTTCTCTAGCTTAGCGTTGAGCCATGTTGGACTGAAGATGACAGGGCTCAGCGGAAGAGAACATGAGCTGCTGCTACCTAGGTTCTACTTCAGGGGTGGGCAATGATTTCAGCTGGAGGGCCACTTACCAAGTTTTGGCAAGCTGTTGAGGGCCATGTAGGTAGCCCCGGCCCTTGACAGGTACCGTGCTCCCTGGTTGCCACCTTGTGACCAGAAGTCCTGCTCCCTAACCCCTGACCTTTGCCACCAGGAGTTCCTCCCCTTGCCCCTGGGAAGTACTCCTTTCAGCAAGAGGTTTTGCCATCTCAGAACCAGAAAAATACCAAATTATATTTTAACACTCAAACATCTACAACATTCATTAATTTGATTTCAAAATACATTTTTGTCTTGATTTATATGCGTTTGTATAGTGAACAACAAAATCACAAGGGAGTAATGGTCCGTTTAAAAAGTTTTATTGGTTGAAAATTCCTGCTATTACATCAAGGGACACAAATATCTTATGGACAACTTGACTTTGATATAATGTGACTCTGTGTTCAGTGGAGGTGATCAAATTCCACTTTGGGCAGAAACATGGGTCTTGCAAGAGCAAAGGAATTAATTCTGCCAACCACTAACACAGGACATTATATATTACATGCACTTTTTTTTCTTGATTCGGTTTGTTTTTTTCATTTTCTTTACTACTGAAATGACGTTTCCATGAAAACATAATCTTTATTAAAAGAGCTCCTCAGCTTCTACTACAGATAACTCAGCTTGATGTCCAGTTGTCTCTTTTGGACAGCTAAATTAGTTGCTGCAAAGAGGATGAGAATGTCACACCTAAAGGATTATAATAACAAATAAAGAATCAGCAATGTGAAGAAATGAACCCTAAAACCAAAAACAAACATCTTTTAAGTTTTTGTAAATTTCTTTAATGGTGAAAGATGAAGGAAAAGCTTTCCCAGTGCTCTGACAATTTAACAGTTCTGATGAGCTGTCTCAAGTCCTTCCCTGAACTGCCAGCTACTTTTTAATAGCAACAGTAAGTTTTCAACTCCCTTATGTGCAGTCTGTTCACTGTAACTGCTTTCAAATTCTCTGTCACATGCTGACACACATCCATTCTTGTTAACCGCTGGAAAACAATTCTTGTATTTGTCATTCAGTGACTCTCAAACGTGGATTTGTCACAACCCTTGTTGCAAACATTGCAGCTATCAGGGTAGCTTGTGGTTTCAAGTGAAACTGATGCTACTAGTCTATAGATTTTCCTGGCAGGAGAGAGCGTAAATAAAATCTGTGCTTCCAGCACCATTCCCCAAGGGAATTAATGTTTCCACATTACTGTGATCTTGGCATCAATTACTGTTAATCTAGTCACATAATCAAGGTTTAAAGAAAAGCTATTTGCTCCAGTCTTTCTATTATGCATCAAATATAGTGCTTTTTTCTAAGGCTTGATCCTGTGAGGTGCTGAAGATCATACCTTGTGACCTACTTCACATTCACACGCCAAGCTACCTAGAGGGGAAAAACTGCCTTTGGCTTTTAATGGAGCTGACAAAGGCCAAAACCTTGCAAGGATGCTCAGCATCGCAGGATTGAGCCCTAAATCGTTTTAAAATGATCATTCTCTTCCCCTATTGGTATATTTGGATAATCTTCAGAACATATTTAGTCTGTGAAAATCTGTAAAATAGATCCATACTAAAATCCAGTGAAGAAGAATACTATACACTACAAAGAAAATAGTTACTGTCTCTTTCAAGGTGCAGACACAAAGCACCATGAGTTAGACCCACCCTCCTGACCCAACAGACATAAACTGTTGGGTTGTGAGGGTTGGGGATTGGAGCTCCAATTTGGAGTCAATCCAGGTCTGCAGCCTCTTCCCCTAGCTCTGTCCTTCTCTCCCCCGCTTCCAGCTCCAATGGTGTTTCAGGATGGGAGGGGGAGAAGGTAGGAGAGAGAGGTCCGTTCTGGGGTTTCTTTAACCTGTGCTGGGGAGGGGTGCCTTGAATCCCCCACCTTGTGGTGAGATCCAACCCACCCATCCCTTCCCTTCCAGTATGGTTGTGCAAACCCCAGAATGGACCTCCCTCTCCTGCCTTCTTCCTCTTCCATCCTGAGACAGCATCAGCGGTAGGACTGGATTGCAGTAGTCCAGTCACTGAAGCAGACACAAGTTAATGAAGGCACTCTGCTTTGGAGCACCTTCACTTCATCACTTCATTCATATAATGAGGGTTAATTTGTCATGCAATTGGAGTGCTCTGCAGCCTTGCTCTTCTGGTAGAGCACTTTCAAGGGGCTGATCGTGTGACAAATGTAATTTCTGTCTGCGCCTTCAGAGCAACTCACTTGCCAGACTCCCAGAGACATGAAATAACCTGTCCCATTCTTAAGAAAACAACACTCAATCCTGAAGATTTCTCCAGCTGATGTGCCCCTTGAAATTCCCATTCCTGAGCAAAGTAACTGAGAGTACAGTAACCATCAAACTCCAAAAACCTGAGATCAACCAGTATTCTGGATGCCTCAGTCAACCTTGCTGCAGCCATAGACATAGGTAAGACTTCCCTGTTAACAGCACTGGACCTGTGCAAGAAGCTGTATCCACCCTATAGACCTAATTTGTCAAAATGGTGAGAAGCCTCAGGGTCCTCTTCACTGAACTTGAATGACCAGGTAGAATCAGCCACCAAAAATGCCCTCCTATAACCTCCAGATTTCTGGCAAACATGATTTCTTTCTCTCAGACAAGGACCTAGCCATAGTAATCCATGCATTATAACTCCTAGGGGAAATTATTGCAAATGATTGTGTCTAACACTGAATGTGGAGATGATACATAGGTGGTAGCTGACAGAGATAGTGTTTGCCCACCTTCTCTGTGACTTAAGCAACCAAGAGCACATCAGGGCTGTGTTCAAGGTTTTCTATGGGCCCCACAGTCAGCTTCCAATACTGACTTAACACCCTGGTCTTAATTTTCAAAGAAATTGATGTAAGGGGACTTGATCCATATGAGACCATATTCTAGTTTAGGAAGCACATGGGCTCTGGCATGTTACATTTATTGTGCAATTAACTGGAGCCAGAGCCAGCTGCCAGCATCTGGTATCTATCTGAGAAATTCTGATCCCTGGCCATCCCTTTCCCTGATCAGAAGCCATATGCCCAGCACAGGGGCAGCATGTGGCAGCTCCCTCCTTGCCTTGCCATGCTCCAGTCCCCCCCATGCCAGGGCTGCTTCAGCTCCTGCGCCTGCCCCTCCAAGACATGCCCAATGCCCTGCTGCTCCAGCCCGGTCCCTGCCAGTGATGACTAGCCCCCCACACTCCTGCTGGCTATGGTGCTGGCCCTGCTGGTCCCAGCAGGCCTCCGCCACCCAGGCCCCAGGAAAGCCATGCACCTGCCAGCGGGGGTCAGGGCACTGGCTGTGGGAGGCCCTGCCTGACC